TTAGTTTGTAGGTCTACATCAGCTTTTAGCTCCCTTTTATCGACCTACGTGACAAATAAAGTATGTATGTATGTATGTATGTATGTATGTATGTAAACTATGTAAAGGGCAGAAAACTGAAGGAATTTGTTTATGAGCGTATTCGTCCAAGCATATCGAGCTCCTCGTGGTTACATCGTTATGTAAAGGTTAGAAGAGTTACTAAGAATGTTTGTAAGCTTAATACGAAGAGGGCAAGATTAAATAAAATTACACAACACGAGAAGAAGTATTTGTCGAATTGTTCTGTGAGGGTATAAAGAATAAGCTCTTTGATTTACAATGACAAACTAGGAATCAATTCTGCTAAGGATCTCGTCTCAATAATCAATACTGGAAATCAGTTGTATTCAAGTTTGTCTCAGTTAACCAGACAATCATTTTTAATGCAGACAGAATTACCCACACTTTTAAATGTGTTCAAGACTGATTATGAACTTCAATATATACAGTGAAAGTTACACTGGCACGATTCATCAAGAAGCTACAATAGAAGGATATCAGTATCGTACCTCCTTAGATAGAGCCTTTCAACCACTTATATCCGGAAATTTCAACAACTCTGTCTTGACATTAGGTTGTTTGTACTGCAGTAGCTATCTATTGTAAAGGCAATGTTGGCTTGAAAATATTCTATTCCTATGCAAGGGATATTTATGGTAGAAGCCATTCTCAAGGTACATGTGTGCTGCTTGAAGTATCATCACTGAATAGCTTAGTACATTATTTTCAGAGTATGCATAACAATGATATATTTGAAAGGGGTTAAAATTGATAAAGTTGAAAATAGTGCCCATTTTCAGAGTCATGCCTGTGAAACCAGAAAGTTCAATGTGAGTTGTGCTGTGGCTGTCTATTCACTCTGCCACTCCGTAATAAAACCATGTAGTTATTGGAATTCAAACACCTTATCCAATGTTATTCAGTACGGCAAAAGATTATGAAAACTCATCTTTGAACAAGTATTTACTGTCAGATGATTTGCCAAAAACTGATGTTTGTGGAACTGAAGTAAGTTTAGATCTTAAAAGTGATTACAGTGAAGGAATATTGTTTGATTCAGTTGACAGCAAATTAATTCTCAAAAATCTTGTAAGAAATAATAGTTGAATGCACAGGGTTTTCGATGTGGTTTTCAGATTTTTGTATGACATGTATTTTTAAACCCACAAAAAGGTCAAAATTTGTGTATTCCCTCTTGGTATGTAATGAAAGTCAAATGCGTTTAATT